TCTTATCACCCTAATGCCAGTATATTAAGTCTCGCCAAAAATTATTAAACTTTCGCAAAGGAAGTAGCTTTTCGATTGGAAGGCAATTTAAATTTTTTTTCGTTCGTGGAGGAAATAAATAATTTCGAAAAAAAAATTTGTTTGGTCGAATGTATTCTATTTTTATCTTTGGCATGTGAGCAAATCTCACGAGTTGTTAAATTGTTCGACAAAAACGTGTTTTTGGTGTGCATTATCTTCAATTTTATATTTAAATGAAAACTAAAAATGATATACTAAAAAATAAAAGTAACTACTCATGCTCATATATATGGCAAGGAATCTCACGCAAATGCATGTTTTTACTGGGCATCTTCAAATGGAAATGGTTAAGATATCTTAACGAATCATCAAATTTCCTTTGAAATGGCATTCAACCGTTAGTGCATATTTTGCAAACACATTCCTGATTTTGCATATTTCTTGCGCATATTTTAGTATATTTTAAAATAATTGCATGTAGTTTTCGCATATTTTTGCTTTTTTTGATTTACAACCCCTTAAATTTACTGCGAAATCTCTTGACAAAAAAATTCGCCTTGACAAATAAATTGCCGTTGATCAACTAGTGGAAGACTATAGGAGAGAACTCTGATCAATACGAAATTACCCTAATATTGGGTCCTGGGACATAGGGACATTTATGGAAACGAGGCAGCGGACGCATGTGTTACTTATTTTCGTACCGGCAATAAAATATTTGGAAATTAATTTTAATTGCATATTTTCCTTGTTTATAGCGTAGTTGCGTGTGTAACGTATACGCCCCGTACACACAGTCATTTAACACGTTTACTCGCTACAATAAAAATTTAGTAATTTCGGTACTTTTTCGCCTAAATAAATGTTCTAAGGCTAAAATTGGCCCAATACTCTATTTATTTTTTATTGAACTTGTTTTGATTGAAATACATGCAAAAAGAATGTTTAGCGTTTTTTTCTGGCGAGAGAAGGAAGTTACACTGAAAAGTAGTGTTTGAAAGTATCGAGTAGTTTTCAAGATCGAGTTCTTCGGTATCGATACCTTTAAGGACCTGGTGGTTTTGTGAGTACTGAGTATTTTCTTTAATTATACACAGGCTGCTAATATTTAAGTTTTTAGTGTAGAAATCTCACAAGCTGGCAAAACTTTATTCAAATTTATATATTACTACCAAATTACGTCGATTGAATGGCCAATTGTACTGGGTACAAATACAGTATATTTAGGTATCTGTTCGGAATTGAATACTGATACAGGGTATTTTTGAGTACTGAGTCCTTTTGTGGGTACTAAGCGCTTTAGAGTAATAGAGTAAACCTTTGCAGTAATAATTTTAAAAATCATGTGCTGTCGATCCTTTTAAGAATCGAGTTCTGAGTACTCCTTATACCGATACTGCCCAACACTAATGAAAAGAGTTGTACAAAAATT